TATGATACTTTGACATGATTGCTAATGTTTTGTTTGGCTACGACGGAGGGGCTCAGAGACAGGAATACAAGCTAAGTGAACATTGCTTATTTTGTGTAGTTTATGTATTGATTGACAAAGACGAGACCTTTGAAAAGATAATAAGTTTCTGTATCAAAACAGTTCATCAATAGCCCATTCCTTGCGAAACAATTAGTTTGACCACGAATGATTTAGATTCGGCTGTATACAGCTGTACCTCCAAAAGGTTTGTATTGGCATTAGACTGACAGTTTTCTATAAGAAAAGATTCAATAGTTCTGCAAAATTCAAATTGAAAATAAATGGACTTTTGAAGAGCAGGCTATACCTCTTATAACCTTCGTGTAACGAAGGGTGACTAACGTGTATCTATTATCTCATATTTTCTGTCAACATTCTACTTGTACATATAGCTATGACTTAAAATTCCAGACGACGATCAGAAGGTAAATTTTCACATTTAAAAATAATTCGTGATGGAAAACCACACGTGCATTTTACTTTTTAGCAACATGAAGTATATCAGGTCTTTTATCATTACCAGACCTCATCTAATCAGCCTGTGAAAGTCGCTAAAAAGGTTACAGTTTGTCATAGTGGTTTACACACTTTATCTACGAAGTATAATCGTCTGCCTTTTCGCCTGAGGAAGACTATCAATATGCAGTTGTTGAGTCGTGATCCATTTCTTCTAAAGTTACTTCGTCGTGAGACAAACGATTTTATTTCCTATAGTAACTCATGACCCTTATCTCTCATAATATCATCGAAAGTTCCCATTGTAAAGTATTTTTATCTACATTTAAATTGTGCATAAATTAATGATTAATCGCCATCATTTTCGCACAAATAATTCAACTCTTAAACATGGAAACCTATGGTACGTGACAGGATAAAACCGAACGTATCTGGCCATGACATCAGTGGTGAGGAAATGCTTTACGACTCTGTGTCGATCTGAGTTTCCTGGAAAAACATGGAAGTGGAAAAATGCATAAATAATAACGAGAAAATAGTGTAGTTCGTCAAATGATTCAAGTTTGAAGGGAGATGTTTTATGGAAAGGTTGAGGTGTGGAAGACGATCTAACTTACATCAATGATGGTCAGGACACTTATGCGGCATTTAAAGCTAAATTTACACGCGGACCTCTTTATGAATAATCTATGATAGAACTATAACCTTTCTCTTAAATCTTGTCGCAATAAAAAAACTTAAGATAATTCCAAAAGCTTTATAATGAAAGGAATACAAGGTAGAGAGGTGCTCAAAACTCTGAAATGAAACCACTTCACTATTTTACTCTTTTAACGTCACCCCTTTATCACTAACAAAGAGCATACTATTGGCAATTGCGGTCTGTTTTGCTTCATTCAACATATTATCAAAGATCGCGAAATCGTGATAAATATCTGCAAGCTATTGGGTATATATTCCATTAAAAATAAAGTGAACTTTTATTTACGAATGCGTTTTCTGATAGCTATTTTGTTTCTTGAACTTGACAATAGTTTTGGCAGATTGGTCACAAGACTTTTTGTCCTGCATATACTCCACCTATACTCGTAAATTGTAACAAATCACACTCTTGCTTGCAGTGGTGCAATTTTGTAAGTCGCTTTTGTAACTCACTGAATTGGACTCTTGGCGGTCCTATAGTCATTACAAATAGTTGCCGAACGAACCTTTGCAGCACTGGTTTCCTCGTAAACGTTCCAAGTTACACCGTCTGAGGATAAGTGCAGTTTGTAGCTGGTTGTCCATTCATGGTAAACCTTTTCTCCTTGGGTGGCCACAGCACAAACAGACAGCATTGTACCCATATCGACTTGAAGATAGTCTGTTCTGTCAGATACAGTCTTGGGACACCATCCTCCCCATCCCCTGTTTTCATGAAGTCGGCCATAGTACGGATAATATCTTTTATTATAGAATGAGCTTGCTGTCATTCTGGCATCTGAGATGGCATTTCTGTCTGTCACACCAACAGGCCAACATTCTAGATAAAAGTAAAATGGATCAAACAGTAATATAAGACTTATATTTACCTACATCTATTCCTTTGCTTCCCAACGTAGAACAGTATGATTTGAACAGTGTGGACTTTTAGCGCGAATCAAGCTGCAATAGTTGACAAACATGGCTTACAACCTCCTCGTTGTGAGGCAAAAGGGCGTTATTCCCTTCGTTTTGTCATCCTTTTGATTCATTTACCAAGCAAGCACAATGGTCACCTCTTGGTGAATTGTACGTCAACCCATTTCATGAATTCACAAATGTAATACACTGTTGTATCGATATCTCAAAAGATTGCATTTGAAATTATCTATGGCCAATTTTATGTCTACGGATATATCCTTTATAATGGAAAAGTGTTTACATAAAATTCGTGAAAATTTTAGTTCTTACGCAACTGTTTGCAGTTGGTTTATTTCGGCATTTTTTTTAACAATAAAATTTGAGTTCGGGAGAAAACCAATCTTCCAAATTGATGATGATCCTCGTGACACGAGGAAATCATGGGTGATCCTTTTAGAGGCGATTGATGCCAAAAATTCGATGGTACGACATTGTTGTATTTTACGCCAAAAGTATACTCTCCCCTCTTAAAAACCATAGCCAGGTAGCCCTTTGACCTTACGTTGGAGTTAGAAAAGAAAAAATACCGTGACTTGATTAATTTCTAAAAATACCGTGCGTCGGAAACTCAGTTTTTAAAGAAAAAATGCTACTTTCCAGTCGTTTTGACTTTCTTTCAATTCATTTACCCACCAAACACAGTGGTCAATCTCCAATTGGTTTCTGGTACATCCACCCCGTTCCTAACTTCATAAACCTAAGGTATTCCTGTGCCGATATCTCAAAAAGTGAAACGAGTGGAGATAATTGTAGGAGGTAGTTCCATGAAATTCGCTCTTGTTGCGCGCGAACCAAGTGACCGCATTACATGGACAAAATTCATTACCAGCACTTGCATTATGTGAAAATTTCAGCTCGTAATGATTTAAAATGACCATGTTATTAGCATTTGCTGGATTAACGCACATCTAAAACGTTGTGTGATATATAGCCTTCCACAATTTTTTTTGACCGCTTAAAAACCAAACTTCTTAATTAGCGATGTTCTATGTGATGACAAGGAGATCATGGCCGATCCCCTCAGAGGTCAGAAACTATTTCAAAGAAAAACCTTTTTCACAATATTTCCCTGTCCAAATAGATGAGTTACACGCGCACAAGTGGTTGATTTCACGGTTCACGCACTTTGCACCGTTTTGACTTAGGTGCTTGACACAATAGTCCGCAACTAGTAAGAAAGAAGGCTGATTAAGAGATTAAGAGAGAAATATCCATGGAATATTTCTTGTACTAGCATTTTGTCTTTATGTCGCAACGAGCTAAACGAGCTAAAGTAGAGTTCCCAGATCTTGTAAAATCCAGCCAATAACTACCGCTAACTGCCTGTCTTCCTTCACTCGCCTCGATCTCCTCGCACGATTTAGCAGGCAGCTCAAAGATTGATCCTAGGGGAACCGAAATTGAAATTTTACATTAGCTGGATAAAAGTTAGAAAAACCAGTTTCTGATAACGCAAAATCCTTAAACGTAACTACACCCTACTATTCTATATTTGCAAGTTCTATTACCTCGTTGTAGACCTTTTGCCATATAATATCTGTTTTCGTCCTTGACAAAGTCCTCTGGTTTTGCCTCTTTAGTCTGGTTGTTTAACTCACATATTGCAATGAGCATGACGAAATTAAAGCTTTGACATCTGTTATCAGCCAGACAAGCCTCTCTGCATTCCAGCGTACCTGGTGTAGTCTTGAACGTCTTATAGGTGTGGCCCTTAAGCATCATTTGATAAATCGAGTATAGGTCGCCACCAGTTCCACACTGCTGAGTGGCAATGTTAAGGAACATTTGAGAAATGAAAAAACAGTTCGGTAAAAAATGAAGCCTGTCGACCAGCCATATGAAGCACATCAGATCTGTGATACCTGCCAAGAAGATGGCGAGTGTTTCATAGAGGAAGGAGTGTTTGAAAATCTAAAAGGAGGATGGCAGGGCCGGTGAAACCAAATGATAATAATGCCAACAAAAAAATGTTTAGATAAAAACATGCTTCATAAACTTGCGAGAGATAATTTCTTACACAACATTTTTCGCTTTAAAATCCGCCCCTCCACCCTCTCCTTTTGTAGTCTTTCATCCAGATCAATGTTCATTTGAACTGTTCAATTGACGCATTTCTTCATCACATGACAACTAAAAATAAGGAGATATATACCTGTGCCAAAATATAATAAACTTATTGTAGTCTTCCGCTCGGCTGAATCACCTGTTTACGTTTTTCAATAATTATTACATAAGGGATCGGTTTCGTGAAACTAGCCTTAAGTTAACGGCCCGTAAAGCTGTTCTGCCCTTTTTCATTTAAGAGTTTTTTAAATTACACAACAAAACCACCAGCTTAAGCAACAAAATAAAATTTTTCGGGTGCGTACATTTTATTCTCTATTCTTTAAATTTTGATGTTAATATCCGCGACCTTGCTAATAACTCGAAATATTTTAAGCTGAAGTAGTTTCATCTTCC